AACATGTAACATGAAGTGAGTAGGGGATCTAATATGATAAAACATATTGTATAAAATTCACAAAAATTCCATTAAAATTATTTTTAAAAAACATTTAGTCTGACCAGTGGGAAAGTACTTTCTCTAAAAGCCTGGAAAATGAACCACCAAGATCCAAGAAGGCCAGCCTCTTCTTCCTCAAGTGCTACTCCAGTTCTGCAAGAGTCTGTGTGCTTGGTCTACCATGAGATGATGTGGAGTGGAGGAACCTTAGGGTAGCTGGCAGGTGGGACCAAAATTCTTGGAAAAAAATTGATGCTTATCATCTGGCATGTGTTCATTCTCAGGAGAGCAAGACCAGTTTGTGTGCTTGGCACCTTCCCATGTGGTCAGTTACCTTCCCTTCCCTCTATCACTCTGTGATGCAAGCTGGGAGACTTTGTCAAGACACTGCTATCATGATGTTTGACCCTCTGGCTCTGGCCACCAAAACTGTGACCCAAATAAACCTCTTTACAAAGTACCCAGCCTCAGATTTTTTAAATTATATAAATATTTTTAAAATATAAAAAAAAAAACACTAAGAAAAGGCCCCTACTGATAAATTGGCATCGTTCCAGCTAGCATTAAAATTTTAGATGTATTTTAGATGTATCAATTGGGGTTGGGCACCCCACGATCACTTATTCTCTGCATTTTAACCAGATGTGACTCTCCATTGCAAAAAGAAGCTTCTTTGATGAGGTGTGAGAACTACGTTTAACCTGTGGGTTTGAATAAGTTTCTAGAACATGCTTAGAACATGGATTGGATAAGCGAAATGGCAGTAGTAGGCTTCCCTTCACAGTCTATTGTCTCTCCAGTCACAGGCATTTTGCTAGGTTTATAGTATCAGGCCTGAATTCCATCGTATTGAGTGGACCTGAAGTCAGCTTTACGAAGTCACATCTTAATGGCTGCTGGGAGAGGAAGAATCATTTTTCTCTAGGGATGAGCTACCCAATAAGTTATCCAATCCCAAGGGGTCAGTTCTAAACACATGTACATACTGGCACCACTAAATGGACCCAGAAGGTTGTTTACACATATATCTGTGTATATATATATATATATATATACACACACACATGTGTCTAACAATAATAACTAAAGGTCAGGAAGCTGAGAGGGACTCAGGGGGAGCAACAGGAGTAGTGGAGGTGGAGAGCAAGGGTGGAAATGATGTCAATACAGTACTCATGTATGAGATTCTCAAAAACTTTAAATTAAAAATAAAAAGTAAAATCATTAATGAGTCACTTCCATCTCTGTCGAGCAGACTCAAGGGTGAATCTCAAGCTGAGTGATGTTAAGTCAATAGTTGGCAAAGTGCATCCTAAATAAATGATGCGTAGTATCTAGATTTGGGGAAATGATAAGATTATTTAGAACTGTAGGGTCATCGGGCTATTGTTTGTTTGTTCACAGGATATTTGTTTTATTAAACACTTTACTTTTATTTTCTTCTCGTCTTTCTCCTAAAATAGAGCAACATGAGTAAGAGAAAGATAAGTGTGTGCCAACAAACTTGGGCCTTATTCCAGAAGAATGTTCTTAAGAAATGGAGAATGAAAAGAGAATTCTTAATGGTATGATCCAATAACGATGCCTTTCTCTGCTGATGATAGAAAAATGTGTTCTGCCTGAGACGTATCTATATGTTTTTGTATATATCAGTCCTCACACCAAAAATAAATGAATGAAGTGGCCTTATACAGCAGGCCACTGTTACTGGCCACGAATCTGTTTGAAGGTATTTCAGTAAGAGCACTAAAGGTGGCCAGAAAATGAGAACTCAGTAACTTGTTTAGAAGCCCATGGTCTCACTTTATTCACTTACTTTACATGTTTTCACTCAGAGACCCAAGGGTTATAATGGCAATATTCTAAAGCTACAATAAACAAATCAACCCACAGAAATAAGCAACTGGATTTTTATCTTTTGAATTTCTTTCTCACTTAAATAAAATAATTTTCTTCTCCCATCACTTGGGAGGCAGAGGCAGATGGATCTTTGTGAGGTCAAGGCCAGCCTGATCTACATAGTGAGTTCCAAGTCAGCTGGTGCTCCAAGGAGACCCTGTCCCCAAAAGGCCAAAGGAATAGGCCTGGATTTGTCACAAACCACTGAGTTTATCTCTTCATCCTCTGAGTTGATTCCATTGGAAACGTGAATAAAAATCTCTCCCAGGACTGAAAATATATAGATTCTGTAACATGAATGCATGTGTGTGTGTTCTCCTAGGGCTCAGACCTGGTGGCCCATACTAAGCAGGTGTTCCACCTCTGAGCTATACCCTCAACCCTATTTTTAAAAATATTTTATTTATTTTTATTTTATGTATATGAGTGTTTACCTACATGTATATAGGTGCGCCTGTGCTGTGCAATGCCTGCAGATGTCAGAAGAAGGCATCAGATCCCCTGAAACTGGAATTAAGAACAGTTGTTAGCCACCATGTGGGTGCTGGGAATCAAACCTAGGACCTCTGCGAAAGCACCCAGTGCTCTTAACCACTGAGTCATCTCTCCCGCCCCCCATGGCTAGGATTTATAACCACCAAAGCAAGATGGGATTCCAAGCACCCACATGGTAGCTCACAACCACTTATAACTTCAGTTCTGTGGGTTCCCACATGTACACAGTGCACATATAACTCATGCAGTCTCGAAAATATACATAAATTAAAATGTAATTAATTAATAGAACTGGATATACAATCACTGTATCATTACTAAGTGATCAATGCCTTGGAACTGCCTCCTGAACATACAAATTCCCAGCAAATAAAATGCATAGTGAATGGGTCTCCAAGGTGATACTGGCGGGTAATAATATAAACAACTTGGTCTGTTGCATTTTGTACTTTCTCATGATTAGCACCTGCTTTAGCACTGGTACTGAGGCTCAGTACATTTGAATTCCTATAATAGCTCACGGAAATTATTGCTGAATTTGTATTACTCATATTTCATGTGATTCATATTGTGAGATACAGTGAAATATTAAAAAGGAACAAAGACAAGTTCTATGACAAAATGCTCATAATTTGGAAACATAATTCTCTACTGTTTTCCTTGGGTTATGTAGGAATGGATAAACTCATTGCTCCTTCTACTATTTTTGTACCTATATCCTAATGGCCATCAAGTTACTGATTTTTCTTCACTGCCTACCATGGACTTGGGGCGGGTAGATTCATTTACAACATCTAAGTTCCTGATAGCGTACTCTCCTGTCACCAGCACAACCCAACAGATAATGAAGAAAGTAGCTGATGTCTCCTTCATGACAGGTAAGTTTTTAGTAACCCAGTTAACAAAAATATATGGTACTGTCATAGTTAGCCTCAGCTGTCACCTTGACTTTAAAACTAGAGTCTTCTGGGAAGAGGGAACCTCATCTGGAGAACTGGCTTGATAAGAATTGGCTGTGGCCATGTCTGTAGGGCATTTCTTGATTACTCATTGATGTAAGAGAGCCCAGCCCACTGTGGTTGGTACTATGCCTAGGTAGGTGGGCCTGGGCCGTATAAGAAAGATAGCCAAGCAAGTCAGAGGGAACAAGTCAGTAAGCAGTGCTTCTCCATGGTTCCTGCCTCAAGCCACTGCCTTGAGCTCCTTCCTTGGTTTACCTTAATGATGGACTATAACATGCAAGCTAGAATAAACTTTTTCCTTCCCAAGTTGCTTCTGAAAAGCATGCTCTCTCATAGCAACAGAAAAGCAAACTAGGACAGGCACTGAATGCAGTATCTGCAGGAAAGACTCTTTTAGTGATGTCAACATAGGGGCAGTATGTATTTTTAATTTTTTCCATTCTTTTCCAAGCTTCTTAAACATATTATTAGGGTTCATAAAGGAAAATAATATTATATAGTTGCTTCCACTCACTATAAACCAATGCCTAATATATATTAAAGTTATATATCTCTAATATGTATATATATATATTAAAGTACAAACTTTAACTGGTATGAAATTTTGTTATGAAAATTGGCTCAATGATCACAACATTTACAATAAAATAACTAATTTTTATGTTCCTTTTGACTGCCTAGATAGAACTTTAGAAATATTTCCCCCAACATTTTAGTGTCTGATGTATTTGAAGCCAGTAATTGATTCCATATACTCTCATAAAGAACTCTAATAAAAGTCATTAAATTTGACATCTTAAAGTGTTTCTCAATAATTACTAATTCCCCCCCTCTTATCAGGTGAGAAAGAAGTCTTAGGACTTTCGGATGAAGAAAGTATTAAAGAAGTAACAGCAAACCATCCCGATGAAGTAATAAGAGTCATCTTTTCTGATACATACTCGTATCACATGAAATTCTTGCTCGGACAAAGAATCCCAATAAGGAAGGAACACAGGGACCATGCAGGTATTTCCAGATATATAGTCCCACTATTCTCTGTTTCAATTATGGCTTGATTCATTCATGGAAATGGTTGCTATTATGTCAAACTAGACACTCCTATAAGAGGAGTATTCATGTTTGAGTATACTGACATGGTCCATATATGACTAATATATATGCTCAGATACATATATATGTTTATATGTGTATATATATATATATTATACAAAGATAATGTGTATATACATATATATATATATATACTATCTGTAATGTGCAGCTATGGTTGTTAAGATAAAACACAGTTGTTTTGGCTAAAATAGGACAAATTTCCCTTTAAATGCTTAAAGCCACATGAAAGTTAAAGAGAACTTTACGAAGTCCCAATAAAAGGACTCTCATCTCCTGAGTAAGAGGTTATTGATGCTCTGTGCCAACCTCCTGAGTAAGAGGTTATTGATGCTCTGTGCCAGCCTCCTGAGTAAGAGGTTATTGATGCTCTGTGCCAACCTCCTGAGTAAGACGTTATTGATGCTCTGTGCCAACCTCCTGAGTAAGAGGTTATTGTTGATGTTATCTATGTACTTTTCTAGTCTCAGAAATCATGAAATATGGATTCTAGTTGTAATATGAGAACAGATCAGAAGATCTTGAGTTAAGCAAAGCCAACTCTCCTCCATTAAGTTGGAGTCTGCGGGGGTTGTATAATCAGCAAAAGTAGACAAAAAGATCACTTGCTGCTATCAGGGGAAGAATAAAAAGATGTTTCCTAAGGTTCTAAGTGATAATAAGATAATTCATCTTTGAGTGATTATAATTCTCAGTTCACCTTCTTTTGGGTTTGGAATTCTTTACTTCTTTGCCCACTTGATCTAGGAAATCTCATCTGAAAATATAATCAAGTGCTCCTTGGCTGGCTCAGCAGTGGGGTGCTTGGCAGAAAGATTATACTTTCCTGGAAAAGTACAACTTCAACTTGGGTACAAAGATAAGATATCTATCTCTAAATGTAAACTCATTATCCAGTATGGAAAGATAGGACATCATAATGAGAGTCTTCATGAAGGAAAATCAGTTGAATAAATTATATCTTCTTCAGTGGAATGTGAAACTAGAAATATAGGGGTCTGGAGAGATGGCTCAGCAGTTAAGAGCACTGGCTGCTCTTGCAGAGGACCCAGGTTTGGTTCTCAGCACCCACATGGCAGTTAACAACCATCCATAACTCCAGTTCCAGGGGATGCCTCTTCTGACCTCCAGGGGCATTGTATGACACGGGTGCACTTATATACATGCTGACTGCACATGTTTATGGGAAGGTGTGTGTAAAGGGTGGGATTTTAGTACTAGTAAGAGTAAAAAGAACTAACTAAATTATCACTAAGACAGTATATAAATGTGTTGTTGGGGTCAGATTCCTTCAGAGTGGGATTCTATAATCCAAAGAAGAAAACATAGGGCTACTTATATAGATTTCAAAATCATTAAATGTAACAAATGAAACAAAGTGCAGAATGGTCAGTAAAATGAGACCTATAGTTTAAACAGGTGTTAAAAGGTCCTAAAATTACGTGTATAGTTTAGGGATATACACTGTGTATCATACAAACATGAAGTCATCAGCTTAGTAGGTGCCTATGTCATAGAAAGCACATCCTACTCTGTACACGGGCACATCCAACTGTATTTGTGATTATTTTTAAAGCCGGACAATGAATATACACATGTCTCATATTTTTATATCCTTTGGGGAGATCAAACATTTCAACTCAGTATAATATGCATGTTTTCCTGTGCTCCATTATAACTCATCTTATTAAGGAATGTCCTTTTTATCTAGCTTAATATTCAGTGAATTAGTAGTTCTCTCTCTCTTTTTTTTTTTTTTTTTTTTTTTTTTGTTTTTTAGCCCCAGCTGTACTGGAACTCACTATGCAGACCAGGCTGGCCTTGAACTCACAGAGATCCACCTGCCTCTGCCTCCAGAGTGCTGGGATTAAAGGCGTGTGCCACCACGCCTGGCTAGTAGTTCTCTTTTTAAAAAGAGATGAAAATTTCTCTTTAAAAGAAATTCTAAACAGAAACATAGACTTTCAGGCCTCTGGGAACTTGCTCATGAATTTGCAACAATGGTGACAGCATGTACAAGACCCATGCTGGCTCAGTCAGAACAAAACCCAGCATAGAATGAGGGTAAATGGGAAGCAGGTCCCAACATTAGCCAAGGAACTATTGGCAAATGATTACTGTGCTGTGAGAGACAGCAGATATTCTCTAATGGAGATAGGCCGACTAGACTCCAGTGAATGAACTTACACCGAGGGACGTCTTGTACAAATGCTTGACCAGGTAGGTCTTAACATATATGACAGAATACCTGAAATCTGGTTGGGGGGTACTACAGGGAGTGGGGAAGGGGAAGGAGTTTAAATTTAATAAGATGTATCACATGAAATGTACAAAAACGCAATAAAAATTTGTCAGTCATAAAAAAGACATTCTAAATGACCTAATCTAAGCGTAATAAACTGTGCTATTCAAGCTTCCACTTGTTCATTATGCCTGTGTTGTGATTAATGTTGGAATAAACCTTAGTTTTTCAATACATGTCATATCATGCTAACTTTGAGAACATAATATCTTGATTCTAAAATACAAAATCAGAAAAGATTACCACAAATTTCTTGATTAGAAGAGAAGAGCAGAAGCAGTTTGAGAGAGTTTGGGAGGACAATTCAAGGCAGAAGTTTCCCTGGGAGAGCTCTGCCTGACTCAAGTTGAGAATCAAGCCTATAATTTATTTTACATAGGTCTTTAAGCACTCGGAATTGGAGTGATTTTGAAGTCTGGTGTTTGCTTTAATCAAGGCTGAAATAATCCATAGTTATGTCTATGGTTTCTTTTTTCTACAAAGCTCCTTGTTTTGAAACATTTGAAGATACCGACTGTCTGGTGTCAAAGTTCTGGAAGTCTGGGTTTATGGCTCTTCAGGCTGCCATCAACGCTGCCATCATAGAAGTGAGTACAAAATGATAAACGTGTACTCACGTTAAGACTAATTAAGGCTATCAGAGGCACAGAGAGATTCAAGGAAGGAAATATAGATGAACAGCCTCATTCTCACATCTACTCATTCATGTCTTCAGTATAAAGTCATGAGGTTGCTATGTCTTATGAGAATAGAGACATAAATGGAGAGAAAATACCCTCTCCATGATCTCAGCCTTCATGGGAAGCCATGAAGGTAATCAGGAAAACTGGGGCTGCAGAGATCGCTCAGCCGTCAAGAGCTCTTATTGCTCTTGCAGAGGACACAAGCTCGGTTTCCAGCACTCACATCAAGCAGCTCACAACCACTGTAACTTTGGCTCCAGGAGATCTGATTCCTTCTTCTGGTCTCTGCAGGTACCCAGACACAGACACACACATATGCACATAGAATTTAAGTATAAAATTGATAAAAATCAAAAGAAAATTATTGAAGAATATATAGGCTATAATAAAGACAAAGAAAGTTCTTGTAAGTAAACAAGCAAAAAGTTTCTCAAGGTAGCACACCATGGAATAATTCCCAGTTGGAATAACAGCTGAACTCAAAACTTGGACGTGAGGGGTCTGTTGAATATACAAGGTCATAAAAAGAACTAAAAACAAACCCTAAAGTGATGCTAGGTGGGAACAGGCAGAGCAAATTTAGCAATTGTAGGTAGCTTGCAGTGACTGGACTACAGGGGGCCAGTGGCAAGACCTCG